CACAGGAATTTTTGGGTTTTTAACAGAGTAAAGATAGGTCCGGTGTACGTAATTTCAATCATACAATAAAGCTGTTTACAGTGGACGTCGTCTGAATATAGGGATTTCGTTTTCTCTTTTTGTGATCCCATAATTCGACCATAGAAACTAGTTTCGAAAGCTAATTACCAATCCACAATTTGTTAGTCGTTACAGTAGTGGCCAATTGTGTACCCCATTTGGTACGCTAGGGTTAGCTGTGTTCTTTAGACCATGTGGCCATCATGGCCATGGCCATCACGCAGTTGGTGCGTGGACAGTTCCATACTCGTATCATTTTGCGTTGCACCTAGTTTTGGGTTGGGTCTTGTCAGGGTCTCTATAAGCACCCTAGAGCACTCATCTTCCTCTTTATTTTGCTCCGGTCACAGCGGTCAAACGGATCTCCTTGGTGAAATCAGAATTGTTCTGTACTGTGCTTAATTGGATTGATCGAAAATCCATCTGCTCTGTGCAGTAAATAACATCTTACTTTGTCACGTGGTCACAGAATAATCGGTCGATCACTTGGTGCACGTTCAAACATGGTTAATCCGGTTCACTTTCATCTGTTAAATGCGTTGCGCGTAGGTAGTTATTCAGTCTTGAGCTGGGGAATTCAAACAAACCTCTTCTTCAGATCACTGGTTGGAACTATGCTTTGTGGATGACGCTCAATTTCCCACAAACGAGCAGTGTATAGTGATGGAAGTGTTCTCGGGGGAAAAGAAACGACGCCATGATTACTTTCTTAAAGTAATTCAAAAACGAATAGCCGACGTGAAAAATGTTCACCGTATCATTCTGATTGGAACCGGTGAATCGGGTAAATCTACGTTTGTAAAGCAAATGAAATTGCTCAGCTCATTCAATCAAACGTTCCCGGATAAGTATCGCGAGAAGTTTATTGCCGAGATACAGCGCAACCTTGTCCAGTCATTGGCTTCAATTCTGTTGTTTATGGAACAAGAGAACATTCCTTTTGGTACGGAAGATCCGGCACTGATCAAATCCAAAGCGCGAATATTAGCCATCAAAGGAGAACTAGATCGAGCTCCTGATTCTATTGCACAATATGCAGCCTCACCAGATCCATCACGACGCAAAGAATTTTACGATGATTGCAGTCGATTGTGGGCCGACAAAGCCGTCAAAGAGACACATCTGAAGGGCAATGAATTTCAGCTAATTGACTGTGCTCAATACTTTCTGGATAAGATTGATGAGGTGCGTGATCCGCGCTATAAACCCTCAGATGATGATGTGCTTCAGAGTCGGACAAAAACGTTAGGCATTCATACGGAATC